TTCCTTCATATGGGAGCGGCTTTCGACTCAGCTTACCGCTCTAAACTCTGGCGCTGCCATTTTCTGAAAGGTGTGCCCGAGAAGTTAATTTCAATATTACATGCGCTTTATACTAATAGCCGAAATGGAGTCCGGGCTTACGGCACCTTTTCACCCGAGTTCACCACGGAAAGTGGTGTTCGTCAGGGTTGCTTTCGTTCTCCTTTTCCATTTAATTTTGTTATAGATCTGATTATGAAAACAGCCCTATCCTTGTGCGAGGATAGTGGCGTCGATTTACTCCCAAGTGATAGGCTGTCTGATCTAGAGTACGCAGATGACCTTCAAAATGTAAAATGTTGCTACAAGACTGGGTTGGTCCAGCACCCAGCCTCACTCTAACTTGGAGAAGTAATAGAGCAAGTGAATAAGTTTTGTTATTTGGTTAGCTAAATCTCCCCCGGTGGAGGCATCGCGGATGAAGTGTCAGCTCGCATACAGAAAGCTCGGTTGGCATTTGCCAACTTGAGACATCTGTGGCACCGTCGCAACATCCGGCTGTCTGTGAGGGGTCGAGTATATGCCGCGACAGTTCGACCAGTTCTGCTATACCGTGCAGAAACTTGACCGTTAAGAAAACAGGACAAAGACAGACTGTCGGTGTTTGAACACCGCTGTCTACGCAGCATTGCACGAATCTGGTGGAGTAGCCGGATGAGGTCCCGGGTTCGATCTCTATTGGGGTCGATGCATTTGCACTACTGATGAAACCCAACCAGGTCGAAACAGCTGTCCAGTGCTCAGCTTTTCAGGTCCTGCTTCATTTGTTCTTTACAAGACGAAACTCACTATATAAAAGTATTTTCTTCATTCACTTTCAGTGCTTTTCACTGAGCTTTCATCATGTGCTTCAACCATGTTTCGTCATGGTCATCAGCAGTTGCAGCAGTCTTTTATCTCACGTATTTTTTCACCTTCATTTTCATTGATGATTTCACCATATTCGACCTTTGTAGCACCGAATCATGAATTTCTCTTGCCCGAGGATATCTGGTTGGAATTGGTACCCAGCACACAAACGGATTTATGGCATGTGATCGAGGCAGAACAAAATCCTCGCATACGGCTACGGGTGGATATTAATCGACAGCTGTCCGATGTAATCGGTCTTGTGGAAAATAAATGGCAACTTGCTGCCGAGCGACTGGTAAGCATTAGGTGTTTATGTCTCATTTATTTTTATCACAATTTTCGGCAACTCCAAAGGCTAAATAAACTGTTTGAATTGCAACCAACATTATTACGAGTGATCAGTGCTATGCAGTTGGCCTCGTGGCGCAGCTAATACGGCGTGCACTGTCACCATCAAAACATAAACCTTTTGTTTTCTGGTAAATACCAACATAATATTAAGCCACACTCAAGGACTAATAGTTATCCATTGTTTGCAAACCTCGAAATTTGCAAAGTAGTTTTTGTTGTCTGCCAATCTAACACCGAACCCTGAACCACGAGACGTTTCCCAACGGTTCCAGTCAATACAATTGAAAGCAGTTCATGCGTTTATTGGAAGCACCAGAAAGGTATGTTAACTGGTGACGAAGCGTGTAGTTGCGCATAGCCTATATTTTTCCCGAAAATATTCGATCACTGGTGGAGCCAATGGGCCAATCAAATTGCAGTATTCCGTCCGTCACCTTGGATTCCATCAATCCAGTGATATCGAGAAAACACCGGTCATTTCCCACGGCGGCGATCAGTTCAACTTAATTTCCCATTGATTCTGCGGGGATTTTCTGGGAAAATTTGTTTTTCACTGATAATAATCCTCGAAAGAAATGTCACCTTCAGTGCTGCTAGTTTGATGACTTGATTTAACTTTATCTATTGTGGGTGATTTCTTTTATTATTACATCGAGGCACAATCTCTCACAGGCTCTACCAGGTGTTCTTTGACTCTGAATCCATCGTTCGTGTGATCCAGTTCTGTTGATAAATACATTAAGTTATATCAAATATGGATGCCTTTCCTGTCTCATTTTTTTGGCCCTGGACAATTCTAGCTTCGTTTCTGCTGGACTACTGACACATCATTGCTGCCTCGTGCACTGTGTTGACCAATGAAATATTGTCTTGAGCCACAACTGGAACCAGAACGGTCTAAGGCAGGATAAACGTTAACTCAGTGTTCGGAGAAGCAATGTTGAGGTTTGGCGCAGAGGCGGTCACCCACTGGAACATGTGGTCGACCTCCGTAGATTACGTTGGTTGTTACACGTGTCACCAAACAAGTTACCGCGGTACACGATGTTTGTCGACGCAGCTCGTGGATTGAAAAAAGGCAATTTCGATCAAACTAAGATCTGACATTGGATTATGAAAACCCCGACCAGGAAACTTACCCATATAGGTCACGTTAGGCTTCCCGCACGGGTACCTCGAGAGCGGATTGCGCGATGGTTAGGGACACTGAACGATATAGCTGACTGTCGTAAACAATGTTTCTCGTGCATCTTCTTAAGCTCTTTGTGACCTTAGTTTAGTAATCTCTTTTCACCTTTAGAGTGCTTCCGATTTTCCCTCCTCTATTTCATCCGATCTAGTAACAACCAAAACTGTTGCAACGAGTGCATGGCTGATGGTTCCTTAAACTGAGACTAAAACTTGCCCTCTTCACTATCAGTTTCTCAGTCTGAAGCTATCTTTCGGATGAGATATGCTTCACTTGCCGATGCGAATTGTTTTGACCTAAAACAATGAAGTTTGAACACAACGTTAGATGTCAATCGGAGCGCTTCTTTGTTTTCATTTAGGTTTTGGTCGGCGTTTTTTTTCGATATTTAGTCACTTCTGTTTCTGAGGTCCATCGACAATAGACTGCACTTTGACGCGGTGTGATGGCTTGCGTGTCTCCGTAAACCTTCGAGCCACACANCTCTCCGCCCGCCTGCAGAGGTAACTCCAGCAAACAAACACAGGAAAGGGCAGTTTACCGGTCAAAACCCCCGCTAGATGGACATAGGAGCGGGGTACTTGGGACTTCCTCCCGATGGTGGAAGAAGTGTTCGCACTTCATTTGACAACTCCCCCCCCCCGCCGCCCAAGCTGAGCAGCCCCCAGCCGGTAAGGTGCTGTCCCGTCCACGTTTCGCTTGTCTCATTGGGTGCATGAGACTTAATGCCAAACCCGAACAGCGGACCGGTAATCAACGCACCAGCGAACAAAGCACTTAACCGAAACCCAAAAACCTTGCGTGACAGGTCTCTAGAAGTTCCCATACGGATGTCTCGGCCATATCCCCACCCTCCGTGTTGGGTCTATATCCCATTGCCTTGTGGATCAAAGTTTTGAGTCGAAGGTTCCGGTCAGGATTCACAAAGAAAAACCCCCTACCACCCATGGAATATCACTAATTGGGTCAACCAACCAGAAGGTATCGGATTGTTGAAACCAAAATCTGCTTTTCACTTAGCCGCATTTAGTGTCCGCACACTTTATCAGATCAGTTAATAATACTCCGTCGATTGTCTGCAGCACTTAAAAGGTGTGCGCTTAATAGCCAGGTTAGTTTTCGACCTGTTTGAGATTGTATATAGACCATATTTTCACCCTTCGCCAAATTATGGAGCACAGACGTACTTTTCGTAGACCCACCAGCGCTGTCTGTCGATCTGAAAGCGGCCTTCGAGTCAATCGACCACTAAACTCTGGCGCTGCCCCGCGCTGAAGGGTGTGCCCTAGAAGTTTATTTCTATTTTGCGATCTCATAATACGAACAACTCATGCCGAATCCCAGGTACGTAGATGATATTTATTGTGTGATCAGTGCAACATCGAATGCAACGGAACTATTAAACAGGTTCAATAATGCGCATCCCAATATACCATTTACTTTAGAAATGGAGTGTAACAACAAATTTCCGTTCTAGATGTCTGCATCACCCGTCGATCAGATGGTTCAGTGCAGCGTCCCGTGCATAGAAAGGCAACAGGGAAAGACCAACACATTCATTTCCGAAGCTTTGTGCCACTGAAGATAAAAAGGAACCTGGTTCGCTGTTTAGCGAATAGGGTAAGAAAGATCTGTAGTGAGGACACGCTAGAAGAAGAGCTCCGTACTGTGAAATTGATCTTTGCACGTAACGGATATCCGGAGCGTTTAGTCAACAAGATGATTCAGTGTACGGACAACTCTTTACAAAACACCGAGGTTAAGAAAAAATCCGTGTACATTTCTTTATCGTTCAAAGGGGACACGTCAGCCGAGATCATACAAAGAAGATTATCTGAGGCAATCGATAAAACTTTCTATGCATCTAAGCTTCGTGTGTTGTTCACGTCCAGGCCAATTGTGTGTTTGCGACTGAAGGACAAAGTTCCAGACTCTGCGGTCTCATTCTGTGTATACTCATTTACTTGTTCCCGTGGAACAACGTACATAGGCCGCACGGTCAGGTGATTGTCCGAACGGATTCGTGAACACCACGCCGCGTGGCTGAACACCGGAACGATTAAGTCACTCACCAGTGCATTGGTTTCACACCTAGCTGAAACAAATCATACCGTGAACGTGTGCGAGGCTTTCCGACCCCTGTACAAAGTTCGCGGGCGATTATCGAGGCAGGTTCGCTGTCGGATGTTGGCTACGGCAGAAGCGGTAGGCATTCGTCTGCACAAACCCCCTCTGTGTGCCCAAAAACAATTTGTGCAAGCGCTAAAGCTTCGGCGGCCCACCCCCCATACAAACCGCATCGTGAGTAATCTCGATGGTCGGATGAGTGCACAAACAAGCATTTGATCGTGGTGAACCCGATTTCCGATCTCACGATGAAATCGGTTTTAGTAATTTGTGTTTTTATTTTATTTTTCCATGACAATGTTATTCCCAAGTAGTGCTGTATATTAAGATGTATTGGCTTGTTCGCCACTCTGTTCTGTTTTCTGGATAGCTTGAATGCCAGCTTAGCCATGTTCTGTATGCAGGCTCAAAATAGATTGTCGGTGTTCGTGCACCACTGTCTACGTCGCATTGCACGAGTCTGGTGGGGTAAGCGGACGAGCAATGCTGAAATTAGGCGTAGAGTTTTAGGTAACCGCGATGGTCCACTGAAGCACGTAGTCGACCTTTATGGATTAAGTTGTTTGGAACATGTGCTGCGCATGTCACCAAATAGGTTACCACGATGAGTGATGTTTGCCGAGGCAGGTAGCGGTTGGAAAAAGGTCAAGGGTGGTTAAACTAGAACCTGGCATGAGGATATGAAAACCCTAACCAGGAGACTGGGTCACATAGGTCCCGTTAGGCTCCCTAGATGGATACCCGGTGATCATGGTCACCGATGGTTAGGGACACAGTGATTGGGTTGGGTGTCGTAAACAGTGGCGCTTGTGAATTCTGTATCTTCCCTTGGAATTTGCTCTCAACATTCCAGTCTTTATTGTTCTCTTATCCAAGTCGGCGGCTAAGAGACAGCATCCAAAACCAGCGCACGAAAGTGCCCCAGTTCAGTGGCAATATTATGCGACCAATGACGAATTTCGTCGGAATGATCACACTGCGCTGATCCCGATGACTGCTGGACACACAACACATTGCTCGTGTCCAACTTTACTGACACCACACTTTCGGCATGTGACTGGAAGGAGCGTCTTGACCCACGTGTCATAAAATAGAGCGGTTTGCCTCGATTAGTCTTTATAGACTAGGCTAGGAATAATTTGAGATGTCATTCATTCAGAACTCTAGTAGAAGTGGTTCTCAATCGACTTCATATACAAGAATATGAATGTATCATGATAATGCCCATGAGCCCATGGAAACATATAGATAAATTCAAAAATATGACAATTGCCCACTATTAACTTCCTAGTGGATGAATAACGGTAAGTTAAATTCTCTCAGTCCGCCCTAAATCCCCACTGCGGACACATACATCTCTGCTCCCCTACGTTCATTCGCACCACTCGGCGTATCTACACATCATTACGGCTGCATCAATTACTGATAACACTCGAATTCGGAGACTACTCCTAAACGGTTCCCTTAATCCGGTTATACTAACTGCGAATTTTACGTTGTTTCTTAACCTTACGGTTGCCC